CAAGCGATGGCGAACCTGTTCAAAGGCCTTCTTAATGCCCAAGAAGAGGGCCCAAACAGACAAACAACACAATGCAGCGCACTCAGTCAAGACACGCATGCGCCATGCACCATGTTGCAAGAAAGGCTGCGCACTCCATACATATACGGTCGCGTATGACGCTTAGTCCACGCAATGCCACAAGTGCATCTGAAGTGTCGGGTGAAGGTGCGCACAAATGTGGTGAACAACGCGACAGTGCGCTCACCCACATCAGGCTTTGGCAATAGGTTAACTACAAACCTGACCAGGATATTCGGAAAACGCACAAGACGTAGGATGGCAACCCAAAGCTTCAGCAGCAACAGGGACTCGTCCGACAGCCATACATGGTGCCGAGCATGAACACAGCCAGGTCCGACAGAAGCACGAGCCCGATATATGCGACACATATTGCGGTAGCGTTCCAGGGTCTGCACAGGAAAGGACGAATGGCCATCAGGCAGAACAGGTGGCAAGGACAGACCCTCACAAGGGTCGGGGCACTGGTGCACGGGTGGCATTGGCCCCCACACCCCACGCCAGGACTGCCCACGCGCCCTTGAGAAGCGGTGCCGCGAGGGGGGCCATCCACGGAAGGGCTCTGAGTAACGCCAACTGCGTTCCGATTCATACTTGCCTCGAAGAAACGGTGAGCCGCCGAGCCCCCGCACTCACGGACCGACCGAATAGCCCAAGAGCACCAGCTCTGAGAATGCACTCCCAGGGCTGCCCTCTCCAAAGCTGCAGCCACCTCAGACCGAGAATTATTCAATCAGAGAAGAGAGCCGAGATCAAGCTGCTGAAGACGTCGTGCTTAGCTGCGCCGCCGCCACCAATCCGAGGGAGGGGGGGGGGCTCTCGTTTGGACGGACAGGAACGCCTAAGACGCGAAGCCGCGGCTGAGAAGGCCCCAGAGACTGCTGGCCCGCTGAATACAATAGGCCTCCGAGACGACCCACGAAGAAACAGACGTGGCTCACCTTCGAAGGAAGAAACAACACCTCCAGGAAAGAGTGATGCAACCGAAAACGGCCTCGCGATTGGTTTACCACCCCCACTTCTCACGTGCATCAGGGTCAGGAAGGTGATATAAGCCAACCAACTTAGCCACAGAAGTCCTTAACCACAAGGACGCCTGCTTCTCAGGCTCAGGAACAGAATCCACATCGTCAGCTGCGCGTGGGAAACAATCCCAAGAAGGACGGCAAGGTGAAAACTCAATGGGACGTTGGACTGGGAAAACCAGGGGGCCTCCGAATCACTGCTACAATGTCCTTACCCACTGATCCCTTGATACGCAGAGCGACAGGCTGGTGCCTGGGGGCGAGATGGGAGCAGTGAACTTCACAGGTAGCAGCATGAAAGGCATGGTGGACAACAAACTAACCCATCTCAGAGAAGCCACCACCACTCTCACAGGCATTGCCACTAGGAGCATTCACAATGCTGCCCGCGAGCTCGAGAAATCCTGCTGCCTCTAGTTCTGCTGGCGACATATCCCAATCAGCAGATGCGAGGTGGGGAGAGCCGGCAGCACGAACAAAAGATGCCACCTGCATGATCAGATGCGCATTACGATTTGGTGTCCCTTCCCCAGTGCGCAGATAAAGACGAAACCTACGCACACCCATGTCAGCCGATCTGTGCCAGGGCTTGATGATGCATCGCTCAGGAGGTAAAACGACAGTAGAGCCCAAGGGGGTGTCTGAAAAGCTGGAGCACTGAGAAACCAGAGCAACCCCAGAGCTCAATCCACCCTCAGGCGCACGCATGGATGGGCGCATGTGCGCGCGTAACCCAAGATGGCGTACACTATTTGTAGCAGCCTCAAGACACTCAGCAGAACGACACAATTCCTGAAGACTACTGCATCAAAAAAGCGAGTGTGGGCAGCCCCAAAAAAAACTGCGTTTGTCCAGCTCGTCACATTGGTCGAGAGCAGGACCCAAGAGTGTCGACCATGACCTACGCTTAGCTACCTTTTACCCTACTTCAAATCCCGGCAAAAACCAAAGAGGCTCCGACGCAACATGTAATGCCATCATCCAGATCATCAAAACTACCAAGAGGAACCTCAGCACCATTGGGGGAGGGGTCCGCCCGTTGCTCCGAAGCCAGGGACGGTTTCTCGCGCGGCGCCCCGGACGCTTCTCGCGACGGGGGGGCACCGACTCTGGATACTGGAGGAGGGTCGACTTCCATAGGTACTGCTGCAACGACTGCTGGTGCGCCCACTGCCTGCCGCGACACTGCTGCCGACGCAGAACGAGAAGGCGAGCGAGGACCACGAGCGACATGACGATCCAGTGCAGGAATGAACTGAACAGCTGCGGAAAGATCAACCATGTGTCCCACAGCACGAGCACCTTCGGGTATCTGTCTTGAGGCCTTCAAAAGGTCCCTGAGGAGGGTCTTACAAACGTCTGACAAGTCGCTGGACTCTGGCTCAACAACAGGCTCAGGAACTGGAAGAGAATCAAGGCAACTCTTTCAAACTTCGCTTTCTGTCCTGGAACGGCGACGCTTGACTTCCCATGAACCTTGCCTAGCAAGTTTATCTGACAATTCCTGTTCAATATGTTCCTAGCTGTCATCCACCTTTTCAACCTCCCTTGTAAACCAGCGGAAGGGTTGCGACAAACGAGCACGCTGCTGAGGAATGGAGAGCATAGAAGTCTTCTTCTTACGGGCATCGACAAGCTCAGACTGAAGGTGGCCAATCTCCGGCTGATTGCGAACGGAGACAGGAAGACTTCGCAGACTCTCAAGATAAGATTGTTTTGTCTTGATGAAGGCTTCTTGATCGGCAACCGTAACCATTTGGCCATCACGCTGAGCGAAGGGATCGTCGTTGTCAAACGCGTCATCCTCATCCCCGAAAATCTGAATCAGATACATCAGACCCAAACCGTGCACGAACCGCATCAGACAATGGGGCGTGAATGAAGGATTCGTAAAACAGTGGGGCATCATCAGCAGCGGCAGCGAACACAATGCCAGGAGCCACCCCTCCCGCGGCATCGGCCGCCCCTCTGGTCTTGTCCGTTCTGCCCTTTGCCTTTGTCCGTCCTTGTCCTTGTCCTTGTCCAGGTCCTTGGTCTTTGTCCTGGGGAGAACGACCAGGGAAATACGCCTTGAAGAACGTACAGGTCCTGCGGTGGTTGGAGGGGTATATCCAAGAGACGGTACCAGCGTTGCAGCAGGCAGAGCAAGCAACAGGGCGGCATATCGCGCGCTGGGCGCGGCGCGAGGTCTGCTGTTGACCGTGGGAGGCTCTCGAGCCTGCCCCTTGGCAGCAGACAAGCTCCAAACCTCAGGGCAAGATTTGGAATTTGAGCCAAAATGGCTGCGGAAAAAATCGTGAGAGGGGAGTGCTGACATGGACGGGGGTGACGCATGTGATCACTGCCACTGGGGCCTGCGGTGGAGATCCCTGTGGGGCCATGAAACGTGTGAGGGATGTGCCGAATTAGGTGGGGGGGGGGCGAGCGTGGGGTTTGCCAGTGGGGCCTTCTACGGAGCTCCGTATGGTGACACGAAACGCGTGAGAGGGGTGCCAAAATAGGCGGGGGTGGCATGTTAGCACTCCCACTAGCCGAAATGGACGGCGGCGACTCATGGGAGCGCTGCCACTGGGGCCTTCGCTGAAGCTCCCTCTGGGGCCATAAAACGTGTGAAGGGTGTGCCAAAATCGGTGGGGGAAACGCTTGTGGCCACTGCCACTGGGGCATTCGGTGGGGCTCCCTATAGGGCCACAAAATGGGTGAAGTCAGTGAGTGAAGCCAAGAGCCCAGACGGCGCATTCGCATACAAAATGTGCTGAATTGCGGGGAGAGGGGAAGGAGCGGGATGGGGTGGAAGGGCAAAGGAAGGATGACGACAAAACAGCGAATAGGCATTAGAAGCCCATTGCTATTTGGGTATCCATCCGTTCCTTTTGTGCGCCAGAAGCCGAGGCAACTTGATACCAGGCTCATACGTAAGGAGTTTGCTATTATCTTCAGGAAGCGTCAAGATCTTCCGAAATGGGTGGGGGGGCGCATATGGCCACTGCCACTGGGGCATTCGTTGAAGCTCCATGTGGAACCACGAAACGTCTGAGTGGTGTGCCACGATCGGCGGGGGGGCGAATGTGAATACTGCCACTGGAACCTTCGGTGGGGCTCCCTGTGGGACTACGGAACCTGTGAGGGGTGTTCCGACATCGGTGGGGAACGCGCATATGTACACTGACACTGCGGCATATGGTAGAGTTCCTCATCGGGCCAAGAAACGTGTGAGCGGTGTGTCGAAATGGGTGGGGGAACGCATGTGGCCACAGCAACTGGGGCATTCGGTGGAGGCCCGTATGTGGCCACGAAACGTGTGCAGGGTGTGCCGAAATCGGTTGGAAGAACGCAGGTGGCCACGGGGACGCATGTGGCCACTGCCACTGGGTTTTTCGGTGGAGCTCCCTATGGGGCCACGAAACGTTCGAGGGGTGTACCGACACAGGGACATGCGGAGGGCAGAGGCAGGGATGGGGGGAGGGAGGGTGGCAGCGGGAGGAGTGGAGAAGACAGGACACGACGGGATGGCTGGGCAAAATCATGGCGGCATGACACACCAAGACTCTGCACTGTAAGTCTGTGCGCTTCTCGTGTTGCCCTCATTATCCGAGGAAACTAACTTGTCCCTCCTTACTTGTCCCTCTGTGCTTTCGTTCTAGCTCGAACATACAGTTGCATGGCTATGCTGGGCAATCCAGTTCCCCCTCGGGCAGCACGGCACAGCTTAGCGCACCACAAAAATGGGGAAGAAAATGACTACGACGACGGCAGCGGCGGCGGCGGCGGCGGCGACGACGACGACGACGACGATCAAAAGGCAATGCGCACAGCATGGACACGGCGAAAGGATCCAGAATTGGAACGGGCCGAGAAGAGCATGGAAGACAAGCTCCAAGCAGGGCACGAAGGCAAAGAGTGTAGCAGCAGCTCCTTGAGGCCTCCGAGCAGCCATCTGCCAGCCTCGCCTCCGCCGAGAGCCATGCGGCGACGCGAGGCGACTGGACGCGAGCTGCAGCCAGAGAGGGGGGCCCGCTGCCACCAGCAACAATCCT